AGGAAGAGGGGGAGAGAGATGGAAACATCGATGAGAGAGAAACATCATGGATCGGCTGCCTCCTGCACACACCCCCACTGGGGATCGAGCCTGCACCCGGGCATGTGCCCTGACCAGGACTCGAACCCACCCCCTTAGTTCCTGGGTCGGATGCTCAACCGCTGCCCACGCCGGCCGGGCTCAGAGGCCATTGGATTTTCCTGGGTCCTGCCTTCTGGCCGGGGGGGGGGGCGGTCCTCTGGCTCAGCTGGGAATATGCCGGGAAAAGGAACCCGTGATTTCAACCACCCCTGAAACAGGCCCAGGGGCAGCGCTGGTTGTGACTGCCCGGCTGAGTCAAAGCCACGGCCGAGGGGTCCGAGAAAACCCGAGAAAGTAAGTGTAGAAGGAGGCGCTGCTTCTTGACTTCCGGAACACCGTGGCCCTGTCTGCTGGTTAATTAAGCGTGACTCTGAAGCCAGGCCTCCTAATTAATTTAATTCTGTGTTCTCCCATCAATGGGTAATTGAATTATAAAGGCATGCAGTGTAGCCGCTCAGGACATTGTGTTGCTGGGAGAAGAGAACAATCCAGGGATGGAAAGGGGCCATGGGGTGGTCACAGCCGGGGCGGAGGGTGAGGTGAGGACTCGTTCACCGCCGCTGGGCTGCTGGCCCCCACGGCCCCCGCAGCCTGGCCAGGGGCTGCTGGGACATTCTGACGCCACCGGTTCCTCCTGGCCTCTTGCTGCCCGGAGCCAGGAGGGCACCGTGACCCGGGCCCTTGGGGTAGGAGGTGGCCCAGGCTGCCACCCAACGGTCGGCATCAGCTCCGCCGGGCTGGTTGGTGCTGGGGATGTCTGGGGGCGTCCGTGCATTTTGGCCTCTTTACAGCGGCGGCGTACGTGGTGAGTAACCATCGCTCCTGGCACAGGTTACGTGAGCCGCGTGCACCGGGGGTCTGTGGGGAGACTGAGTCTGATCTCGGCCCTCCTGTCGCCGTCCAGGCCGCCCAGGTGCCAGGTTTCAGGGGTCACCTGCTGGGTGCCCGAAACTTTAGATGCCCCTTAGCTTCGTCCTGCGGAGGAGATGACGGGGGCTCAGCTGGACAGGCGGCTGCCGGCTCCGGAGCGTGTGGGCCCTGCGTCGCGCTCCCTAAGAGGCCGGGCAGGGAGAGGGGGACGGACAGAGACGGTGTGACCCCACTTCCATGTGTCTCTTCCGAACAGAACCCAGTTTTCACCTGAAAAGCACCGACACGGGAAACAGGTGCTCCCCGGCCGGTGTTGCGTTGCCATGGGTGCCGTGCGGCTAACAGGTGTCTTCGGTGCCTTCCAGGGACCCAGGGCGCCGTGTGCAGAGTCCTCACCAAAGCCGAAGGCCCGTCGGGGGCGGACACCCCCCTGGAGCTGGTGTTCCACTTACCGGCCGGCTACCCCGCGTGCCTGCCGGGCGTCTCCGTCGGCTCCGAGCGCCTGACCAGGGCCCAGTGCGCGGCCGTGAAGGACAAGCTGCTGGAGCAGGCACAGGGCTTCCTGCCGGAACCGATGGTCCACCAGTTGGTTGTCTGGGTCCAGCAGAACCTCCGGCACCTCCTCGCCGCGCCGGGGTCGGGAGCTGGCCCTGGCACGTGCCCTGCGGCGAGCGCCACGGAGGCCGAGGGGCCGTGGATGACCCTCCTGCACTTGGACCACATGAGAGCGAAGACCAGATACGTGCGGACGGTGCGGCAGTGGGCCTCCGCCCTGGGGCTGACGGGGAGGCTCATGTTCATGGGCAGAGTCATCCTGCTCCTACTGCAAGGGCACAGGGACCGCGTCAAGGTGCCACCAGTTGTTGTTTTTTTTTTAAATATATTTATAGTTTTAATGATTTCAGAGAGGAAGAGAGACAGAAACATCCATGATGAGAGAGCATCATGGACCAGCTGCCTCCTGCACGCCCCACACTGAGGATGGGGCCCACAACCTGGGCTTGTGCCCTGACCGGGAATCCAGCTGGGACCTCCTGGCTCACAGGTGGATGCTTAACCGCTGAGCCACGCGGGCCGGGCCAGCTCACACTTTGGTTTGCTCCCGTAGTGCCTGGAAGGAGGAGCCCCACCTCCCAACCTCGAGGTCCTGTGAGTGGGGGGAGCCTTAGGCGGTCAGCTTCCCGCCTTCCGAGTTTTCAGGTTCTCATCCTGGACTCGTCTGACCTGTTTTCCGGGGGACCCGGCGAGGGAAGTGCCTGTCACAGCTCACCTCTCCAGGGAGCCGCAGGCCACCGTTAGGCTTTGTGCGTCCAGGTGGGTTGGTCATTGCAATCGAACGCACAGCCTGTAACCCTAAAGATCTGGGGACTGACTACCAGCCTTTCCTACAAGGGCTCTCGCCACCAAACTTGTCTGGCGTCTGGTTAACCAGCTCCGTGCCGGGCGTAGCACGTTGCGACGAGGAGTCATTCCAGTTTCATGCAGGTCCTGGTCTGGGGTCTGACCTAGGACACGCCGCGAAGGCGGTTTATGGAGATGGAGGACACCGAGCCTTCCGGGCAGACCCGGCGGCAGAAGGCGCGCAGGGCACTGGCTCGTGCTTCCCCAGAGGCTCCGGCTTCGGAAGGCGCCCGGCGCCCGGGGAGGCGGCTGCTTTTCGTATGTGAGACGGGACCGTCAGTTCATTAACAAGTGTTTATTCATGTGGCTGGAGCTTGGCTGCTGCAGAGAAATTGCACTTTTTAAGGAGTTCCTTCTTTTTAAAAAATCCTCACCCGAGGGTATTTTTCCCATTGACTTTGAGAGAGAGAGAGAGAGATAGAAAGAGAGAGAGAGAGAGAGAGATAGAGAGAGAGATAGAAAGAGAGAGAGAGGGCAGTGTGAGAGAGGCACATGGATTGGTTGTCTCCTGCACCTGCCCCGACTGGCCAGGAATGAACCTGCAACCGAGGGACATGCCCTTGACCTGAGCCACACCGGCCGGGGCAGGAGTTCTTCCTTGTTTACCACCTGTCCCTGAAGTGCCGTCCAAAGTCAACATGCCTGCTGGGTCGTCACGGGTCGCAGGTGAGGACTGAGAGTCGCAGGAGCTGCTCGCCCAGCTCGGAGCGGGTGCAGCACGTCACAGACGCCGCCCGCATGCAGAGGTGGGCGCTGTGCACCGGGGACGCCGTGCAGACGCTGCAGCAGCAGCAGCAGCGCCCGTGGCTCCTGCTGTCAGCCCGTGGCCTGTGCGGACTCACTGAGTCCGGAGATCCCCCCGTACAGCAGGGGGCAGCTCCTGAGGCCCAGAGGGCGTGGGGAACCAGCCCAGGGCCACGCAGGCCGGCTGCCCAGGCCAGGACGAAGCCCGAGACGGCCTCCCTCTGACCTGGTCCCCGGCCGGCCCGTCACACCACCCAGCGAGCAAAAACACGCACTCTCCCACGGCCCGACTCCCACGGAGACGAGGCAGGAAGCTCAGCCTGCAGGTGCCTGGCTACTTGCAGACTTGAGACCCGTGCCCGGCCGGCAGGGCTCAGTGGTTGAGCGTTGATCTATGAACCAGGAGGTTACGGTTCGGTTCCCAGTCAGGGCACATGCCCGGGTGGCGGGCTTGATCCCCAGTGGGGGGCGTGCAGGAGGCAGCCCATCCATGGTTCTCTCTCATCATTGATGCTTCTATCTCTCTCTTCCTCTATATTTTTTAAACAAAAAAAGAGAAAACTTGGGACCCAGAGCTCAGGACGCCTGCGGATAACTTCCTGCTTGTCCCTCAGGAGTACCTGGTGCTTCAGAAAACCTCCAAGGTCGACGTGGACTCGAGTGGGAAGAAGTGCCGAGAGAGGATGGCCAGCGTGCTGTGGGAGGCCAGGGCGCAGCCGGGACACGCCAGGTATGCAGCGCCATCGCAGCGCCCGCGCCACCGGCCGGAGCTTCCCTCCGGGCGTCCGGCTTACCCCGGTTTCTCTCGTGCCGCGCAGGTTCCTGGCATTTGAAGTCAAAGAGTTTTCATCGCTGGACGAGCTGCGGAAGGAGTTTGAAACCGCGGGACTGGAGGCCCTGTTCCCCGAGTGCGTCCTCGGGCTGGTGAAGTGAAGCGGGAGACGGGGTTTGTTGTTAAACAGCTGCGTTCGTTCATTTCTGTTGTTGGATTTGCATTGGATTTTGGGGGTGGACAACTGGAAGGACTCATAAAGGAATGATTGTAAAGTGTCTGTGAGGCAAAATGGGAGATACCATCCTGCCTTCAGGAACAAAAGCCGATTCTGTTCGTGGAATATTACACAGTAAACACACCCATGCTGTTCTTTTTTTAAAAAATAATATGTTTTTATTAGTTTCAGAGAGGAAGAGAGAGGGAGAGAGAGAAAAAAAAACATCCACGATGAAAGAGAATCATCGATCGGCTGCCTCCTGCACGCCCCCCACTGGGGATCAAGCCCGCAACCCCGGCCTGTGCCCCGACCGGGAACCGAACCCTGACCTCCTGGTTCACAGGTCAACGCTCAACCACTGAGCCCCGCCAGCCGGGCTGTGCGCTAATTTGTGACAGTCAAGGCTGGGTTCAGGGGATGGGACGTTCTTTGCGAGACGACGATGAGCAGACGATGTAAACGAGCCCTGAGCTCACAGAGAGGGTGTGTTTGCCGCCGGCAACGTTCTTGTGATGAAATGATGTTTGAAAAGAAATGTTTCGTTGCTTCCTTTTCTCATGTTCACATTGTCAGCATTTGCTCATGATTTCCCCCGTTTACCTCATACGTCTGATGTTCCAAGGTGAACGGTAAGGACACGTCACACGGACTCCTTTGCTGCGTTGCCTCCGTCGTGAGGTTAAACCCAACCAGAGCTCGTGGGGTTGAGTTCCGGTGGTTTCTGTGGGGCCCAGACCGTCTCGGCACTTGCTAGCCAACAGTGATGGTGAACCTTCTGAGCTCAGCGTGTCAGCATTTTGAAAAATCCTAACTTAACTCTGGTGCCCTGTCACATATAGAAATTTTTTGATCTTTGCAACCATAGTAAAACACAGACTTATATTTTTGATATTTATTTGATATACTTAAATGCCATTTAACAGAGAAAAATCAACCAAAAAAATGAGTTCGCGTGTCACCTGGACTAGACAGTCCTTTGAGATAAAAAGTGTTTTGTCCTTTCGGCTCATAAAGCCTCAGTCAGTTTGCTTTACCCCCCCCCCTTTTTTTTTTACTAAATTGCTTTTTCCCCAACAATCAGGATCGTAGGTCTCAGCTTCTTAGGTCACTGAAGGGGTGTTGCTTTACTCCTCCCCCCTCTGGTGCAGCCTAGGTTTCCCAGAGAAGCAGCCAACAGGATGTGCATTTATTTCTGCTAAGGAATTGGCGTTGGTGGTGATGGAGGCCGGCACATCCCAGACTTCAGAGTGGGCAGGAGGCTGGAGACGGGGGAACGGGGCTGCCCCGGAGGCCGGAGGGCCCTGCGCTGGCAGAATGCTCTCGCTTGCCGGAGATCGGCCTCTGGTTCTGGTCACGCCTTCCACTGATTGGACGAGGCCCACCCCCCGGGCAGGGCAATCTGCTTTCCTCCAAGTCCACAGACTGACACGTGCATCTCACCCAGAGCGCCCTCCGGGAGCATCCGGAAGGATGAGACCACGTGTGGCCCGGCCGAGTGGACACAAAGGTCGCCGTCATCTCTCAGGACACGTCCCGCCTGCAGGGTCACCGTTAGGGGTGAGGCCTGTGCCTGGCAGATCGCAGCTGCTGCAGCCCCGGGGCCGTCCTCTCAGGCTCCGCCCGCAGAACAAACGCCACGGGAACGGCAGCACCAGGAAGAAAGCACCGCTTCCGAACACTCAGCAGCTTGGCAAACGGCGGTTGCTGTGGCCCCTGTGGCTTCTCTCGAGTCGGACGGGCCGCAGCGATAGATCGTGCAAGAAGGTTATGTTCCCGCTGGCGCAGGAGGGGAAACATGGGCCCGAGGACATATATTGATTTCTTTCTTTTTTTTTAAAGTGAACTCCCTTGCTTTGGGGCATCTTTCCAGAGCCCTACGCTGGCGTTTTCTCAGCTCAGTGTTGGCAAGTGACACCCCGAAGTGAGGCCAGGAGGGGGTTCTGGAATGGTGCTCTCTCTGAGGTGAACCCCAGCGGTGCCTTTGGAGGTGTCGGCCCACCTGCTAGCCTCAGCGCTGGACCGTTGGTGCACGTGCGGACGCGCTGCTGCAAAGAGCTGCTGCTTCCCCACCGCCATCCCCACCGCGGATCTGCCTGTCACTGGGCCTCAGCTTACGGCTCCGGTGCTGGCCGGTCCCGACTCGACCTGTTCTCATGCTCCGCCTGAGGCCACGACCCAGGGGTTCCGCCAACCCCTCGGGGACAGTGCCGCAGAGCAGACTTCATCACCACTAAGCAGACACCGCCCTTTCCCATCCATCCCAGTTCCGCTGTCGTGCTGTCACCAGAACCATCCCCGGGCTCCCAGGGTCACCGTGGACCTTCCTCCGACTCCCCCTCCTCTCCTCCCTCCGGGAGCTGCCACGTCTAATTCCGGGCGATTCTTCCACCCATTTCCGCTGCTCCTCGGGTTCTCATTCTTTCCGGCCCGGGCTCCTGGGAGGCCCCGAGGGTCTCTCACCTCTGTCCCCGCCGCGCCCTACGCTTGGCTGCAGGTCACACTCTCTCATTTAAAACTCGGGGCCAGAGGTGTTCTAGAGGTTTCTCTTTGAGTTCTTGGAGTTTCAGAAAGGTAATAAAGAGAAAACACTGTGATATTACATTTCCCCCCACCCCCATGGGGGGCAGCATCCTGTAATCAAACATCGTTATTTTGCTGTGAAATGGATGAATATTTGCATTAAGATAAAGAATATAAATGGTCTCTCATTTTTCACATTAAACTTTAATGCCAGGTGAGTTCAGATCAGATTGCTTTTGTCTCCAAGTAAATGATTAAAAAAACCCAAAACCGCCACCCATGTTTTGGTTTTTAGAATGTTCGGATTTTAGAATTATGGAAAGGGTTGGTGGACCTGCACTAGATACATCTTTTTTAAAAAAGAACCCACACATTTGTATTGATTTCAGAGAGGAAGGGAGAGGGAGAGAGAGGTAGAAACATCAACGATGAGAGGGAATCACTGATTGGCTGCCTCCTGCACGCCCCCTACTGGGATCGAGCCCCCAACCCGGGCATGTACTCATGACTGGGAATCGAACCGTGACCTCCTGGTTCATAGGTCTGAGACATGGCTGGGTAGAAGCCTGCTTTTAAAATTAAATTTGGAGGCATAGGGTTTCTTTTCCTATTGGGTTTTCTTTCTTTTTAATAGTTAAACACGCAGGTAAACCTTCCTGGAGAAGGACTGTGCGTGCTTTCTCTTTACAGTTTGTAAGCTTAACCTCCCTAAGCGAGGCGTTGTTTGGCTAAACATACAGCTTGTAGCGGTACACAGCCTGGAGAAACAGACACATTCTCACAGCACCTAGTCGTTATTGTTTTGGGCTATGTGGACGTGTTGGCTTTTATATCAATACTAGAGGCCTGGTGCACGAAATTCATGTGGGGGGGGGGAGGTGGGGGGGGAGTCCCTCAGCCTGGCCTACACCCTCTCACATTCCGGGACCCTTTGGGGGATGTCTGACTGCTGGTGTAGGGGATTGGGCCTAAACGGGCAGTTGGAAATCCCTCTCGCAATGCAGGACCGCTGGCTCCTAACCGCTCGCCTGCCTGCCTGCCTGCCTGATCACCCCTAACCACTCTTCCTGCCTGTCCGATCGCCCCAACCACCTCTGCCTTGGCCCCCGCCACCGTGGCTTCGTCTGGAAGGACATCCGGCTGTCCGGTCTAATTAGCATATTCATATTACCCTTTTATTATTATAGATGGGTTCATGTTTCTAAACCTCCTAGCATTTTCTTACAGCAAAGAACTGTCTCTTTTCTGAGAAGAAAAAAAAACCCAACACACTTGCTTGTAAAATGAGGCTGTTTTGCATATTAATTAGGAGGTCTTTGAACTCTAAGGATAAAATCCGTTCATGCTTTGGGTGTGGAACGTTATGCATTCAAGGAGTTTAATTTTATGCTAATAATGCAACAAGCTTTACATTTTCCTTTGTGTTGTTTGTTTTCCTGGAGATAATTTCATGCAGATAATCCGCCCCAGCACGAGCAGAGCCTGGCGGACGGCTTCCCGGTCGATAGTCAGTCCTGTGGGCGCTGCCTTGTACACCTCTATTCCCACGGCTGGCGAGTGAATGGAGACACACCCGCTCAGGCAGGGACTCACTCGGGGTTCTGGGCTACGAGCCACCTTTCTAAGAATCGCTTCCTCTCTCAAATGCCACAGTTCACGGAAAGGCAGGAGGGCTGATCCCGGAGCTGATGCTGAACATAAAACAACTTCTCAGCAAGAGGAGTCGATGGCCTACTGTCGGCCTAACTCGACGACATTTACCCCAGCGAGAAGCCCGGCGCCATGCGCTTCTCCCGCCTCTGCCCGGTGTCACCGGACAGGGGCCTGGCCTGGGGGGTCTGCCTGGGGCCGGCAGGGCGTGTGGGCTCTTGACTTCGTACCGGAAAGATTTCACAACACGAGTCCAGGTGACCATGGGGAGCGTTTATTAAAGCTGAGACGTAAAACGAGAAAGGTCCTAGCATAGAAGCAACAGGAGAGCCAGGCTGGGCCGCCCTAGCTCTCGGGGAGTCAGAGAAGAGGGGCCTTAGGGTCAGGTTCAGGGGTGAGTCTGCGACGAGCTGCTGCCACCCATTGCTCCCCAGGTGCCAGTCTCGTGGGGCCCCTTAGAGTTTAGGAGCTGCGTGGCTGTGGGGGAAGAAGTGGGGGAAGGGAATGGCAGGGGCTGCTCCCCAAAGGTCCGTTGTCTTGAGGCTTTTGTTTCCCTCTTGCAGGCGGGACTCTTGGGGGGGCCTCGGGGGAGGGTCCCCGCAGAATACTCATCAGTTTCCAGGTGGGCTCCTGCAGGGTCAGGTCTCCACCGACGGGTCAGTGTTGGCCAGAGGGCGGTCATCGCAGCGGCCCTGGAGCCGCCCACCTGGTTTTGCTGCTTTTCTGCGTCTGGAGCTGAGGCCTGGGTGTTCTCTCCAGGAGGGGACCTTCTGCATTGGCTGTCAATTGTTCTGCCAGTTCGTTCCGCTCTCTGCCTCAGTTTCTCTATTCCACTCGTCCAGGCTCACTGGCCTGTCTCATGGGGAGGGCAGCGTAACAGACACGTGGCAATGTGGAAGGTTACGCTTTTTAAAAATATGTTTTTATTGATTTCAGAGAGGAAGGGAGAGGGAGAGAGAGATAGAAACATCA